TCTTATTAGCCTTATCTTTATTTCAGCTTTAACTTTAATAATGGTACTTTATCCGAACCCACGTTGTAAATTATTGCACTGTATTAAGTGTGTTTGAATTCCGAATTTGATATCCAGAAGTGTCTATATAAAGGGCCTTCAGTTGTAAGGGACACAGATTTTCTCAGAGTATTCCTAAGCTAAGAAAGAAATCTAGATCTCAGGCGTTCTTAGAGCAAATAATATTCTGGCAATCTAAATAGTTTATAGACACCCTTACTATCTATGCAAATTTGTTTTAAATAATGTATTTCTTTGTGCAGTGTGCTAGTTCTCTATGTTATTATATTGAGAGTTGTTTCCATAGGTCACCTAGATATCCAAATATAATAGTGTCTAGAGTTACAATCTGATGTAAGAAATGAAACAGATCTGTACTGAGTCTGATCTAATGAAAAAAAAGGTTGATGTTAGCCACATCTAGAAACTAGAAGCTTACCGCCAAAGCCCTACGCCAAAAACCTTTGGATGCTGTTCTTATTTTGGAAGTATAGTGGGCCTAAAATTAAACAACTGAAATTGTAAGAATAGGAGTGATATTAATATTATTAATCAGTAATGTTGTTAATATTATAAAACAGTAACTGTAAAAATTAAAAAATAAATAAATAAATATAAATTATTTTAAATTATTTTTCACATCAGTGCCACATCACCAAGCCGCATCATACAGCCAAGGTCGGGCTGTTGAATCACTGTGTGATCTAGCACCACCCATGAACATTATACTTTATGTTCATTGGTTTTTTTTTTTTTTTTTTTTTTTTTTTTTTTTTTTTTTTTTTTTTTTTTGTGTGTGTGTGTGTAAAAAGTGGAACAAATGTCATTGAACAACTATTGAAATAACATGTAATGTTTACTTAATGTGAACGAATGTGTACGAGAGTTTTATCAAGAAAACGAACGTAGCAAAGAAAGGTGAAACCAAGCAAATTGAAGAAGTAAGAACACTAGCCAAACCGCAAAGGGTTGCTCAAACGGTACGGGCTTGGGGTGTTAAATCCAGGTCACAAGTGTGAGTCCCTTAAGGCCAACCACAGAACTGAACCAATCTTTATAGGTTAGGTTGGGTTGGTTCTTGAGTGCATCGGTTTGGTTCTGAGTATTCAAATCGTCAAATCGATAGGATTGGGTTAGTTCTTGATTTTGGTCTTACATAAACCGAATCAACCTAAAAACCGAACCTATTTATATATGTTTTAAAATTTTACTTATATTGACATGTCTTCACTTTGATCTATTACAATACACTTGATTGCGTGTAATAATTTTTCACATATAATAATTATTAAGTGAACAAAAGAAGTACTGGAAATTTGAGTTGAATTTCAAGGTTGATTTAATTTGTATTGGTTATATTAATAGATTTAATTTGTATTAGTTATATTTAAATTTGAGTTGAATTTAAGTTGAATTAGTTTACATTAAATAATATTTTGCTCTTTGTTTCTGTAGTATTTAAATGTTAAAGATTTGTTTATTTTAATAATTTTCATTGATTGATTCACTTATTTTTAATATAGTGGAACCATGGGTTTGGGTTGGGTTAGTTCTAGTACATGATTGATTTAGTTCTGACTCTAAAAATTTGAAACCCATCATGATTGAGTTAGTTCTAAATTCCGTACCAAACCGATCCATGAACACCCCTACAACCACCCAAGCAATGGCATACAAGATTATTAGGATAAGCCTTTCAAGCTGCAAATCACGATTTACCACTATATGATTGAATGAACCTATCATATGTAGCCCTACTTAAGAGTGACCTCTGAGTCTTTTGCTCCTCTAGTACTAACCCCATAAACTCATATTTTGTTAGACCTTTGAGAACACTGGACATTGTTGTGTTTAAATTATAAATTTAGATTGATATTTTTTAAAAAAAGTAAAGGCAAAGGCAAAAAATGGGGAAAAAAAATTAGCTCATATTTTATTTACACTTTACTCAACTTTTCCTTTCCCTTTTCAAATTTTTATCCAAATCTATGAATCAAACACAATCTATAAAAGGTTAGGTTTGAGTAGCGTTAGCAACTGGAAACTCTTCAGTGTGTAATCGATGTATGTGATAAGCTTATTTGATTCTGTATGTTGCATCAGTCATTTTTGGCTTTCTAGTAAAGAAGTTACATGTATATAGGAAGAGAACTGAATTGTAGCTCTGAATTGGCAAATCATAGTCTACAACACACACAGTAGTCCTATGACACAAGGCATCAGTAAATTGGTGTTAAAAGTCATAAAAATCCCTCGCAAAAAATTATGCATTCACTTAATCCTGTTGATATACCATTATAACTTGTGTGTTAACAAAATCAACTTTGACAACATAAAATAACGTAATCAGCAAACATTAAAACCTCCCAAATCTAATCTTCAGAAGTTGTGGATGAATGAGTCGGGTATTTCCACTGCACATCAGCCCATGTGCTCAAACCATCTGTCACCTCCTTAACTACAGATGCCACCTCCTCTACATTAACACGAATCTGTTTCTTGCTGTCTCTCTCCCGGAGTGTCACTGAAGTTGTCGAATCCACTGTAATGGCAAGGGGAACCCCGAGTTCATCTGTTCTTGCATAACGCTTCCCTATTGATGTACCTGCAATATGAACCCATTTGTATAAAATTAGTTAGTCGCCAAGTTCATCAAATCCTGCCAATATACATCATAGAAAAAATGAGTTCCACTATCTCTGGTGGGAAGGGAAATCAAATGAGTTATATTATACTATTAACCAAGAAGAAAACAGCGTATCACTTGAGACACCATTACTCATTAAGCTCATGCAAAGAATCTACTAATTTACAAAAGCTTAACGCCATGTATGGATCCCGCATTTTTTTTTTGTAAAGCATAAAATGCATCAATAGATTACTCAAAAAGCAAAGTACGTCCGAGAGTTTGTACATCATTACAAACAACACTACATAGGATTAATCTAAATATTCCACAACCCAAGTAATACCACCATGAAGAAACCTTCTCTCCACGTCTACAAGCACCTACAACATGGTTAGAAAAACCAAAAAAACATGACACACCTCATAGATTAGGTCACTAATGAAGAACACCGTCTTAAGGGAACATGGAAAAGACTTGGGTCTTTTTGACTGGCTTCTATTCAATGTTCTCTTTTTCACTTAATATGATCGTTGCTTTGAGAGGATTGAATTTCCATTGCATTGGCATGGTTGACATTGAGGCAAAGAACCAGAAGACGCGAGAGAAATCATGTGTGCCTACCCATTTTTCTATGGGTAACCAAACAAGAAAATGGATTTTTGAGAACTGCCTATTTTTTTCTTCTCATTTTCCACCCTAAGAGCAACTCCAATGGTTCATGCTATAATAGCATTGTCAAAGCTATAATTTGGCAGGTTACAATAACAAAATGCCCAATTATAGCAATGTTGCCACATTGGTGACATGCCATTTTGGCAAATTCCCTCTCTTTTTTAGATGGTGTTTGGGTTTAGTTTTTTGAGTATTTTTTTTTTATTGATTTTGTTTGGCGTTCATAATCTTTTTTAAACTTTTTTTTTTTTTTTTAAAAAAAATTATGACTTTATGTTCTACACAATTAGACAAACCAAAAAAATTAAATATTGAAAGAAAATTTAGATCCTTCTATTCTACATAGCACGGACACAGACACGAGACACGACATGAATACACGGACACGCAAATTTTCAAAAAACGGAAGACACGACATGCTGGGGACACATTCAATATATATAATTTTATTTATTTATTATATCTAAAAAAAATGAAAAAAAAAAAACATTGGAAGGTAATTAAACATGCAAAATAACACTAAAAAATTAATAAAAACATTTAACAAATTAATTTTTTCCAATAAATAAAAATAATTAGTGTTATGTATGTTTAGGTTAAAAAATAAAAAGATGGGAAAAAAGGGAGTATGATGAGGTATAAATTAAAAAAAGTAAGGTTTTTGTCATTAAAAAAAAGATATTTTAATACAAAAAATATCTTTAATTAGGGACTATAAAAGGAAAAAGAAAAAAACAAAACAAAGAGACGATCTATGAATCAAACACAATCTATAAAAGGTTAGGTTTGAGTAGCGTTAGCAACTGGAAACTCTTCAGTGTGTAATCGATGTATGTGATAAGCTTATTTGATTCTGTATGTTGCATCAGTCATTTTTGGCTTTCTAGTAAAGAAGTTACATGTATATAGGAAGAGAACTGAATTGTAGCTCTGAATTGGCAAATCATAGTCTACAACACACACAGTAGTCCTATGACACAAGGCATCAGTAAATTGGTGTTAAAAGTCATAAAAATCCCTCGCAAAAAATTATGCATTCACTTAATCCTGTTGATATACCATTATAACTTGTGTGTTAACAAAATCAACTTTGACAACAAAAAATAACGTAATCAGCAAACATTAAAACCTCCCAAATCTAATCTTCAGAAGTTGTGGATGAATGAGTCGGGTATTTCCACTGCACATCAGCCCATGTGCTCAAACCATCTGTCACCTCCTTAACTACAGATGCCACATTAAAAAAAAAAAAAAAAGGAGACACCTCCCATAGAGCGTCCGACACGTGTCCACCACATGTCCGGCGCATGTCCGTGTCCGACACTCATACGCTCCCTTTAGAGAGGTGTCCATGCTTCATAGCTTCTATTTCACCCGCCATGTACATACCATTAAAAAAATTGAAAAAAAAAAAGTACTACCATTCCCATCTACTATTCTAACCTATGGCTGTTCAAATTACCCAATGAACTGAAGAACCGAACCAAACCGACCTCTTTGGGTTGGGTTGGGTTGGGTTGGGTTAGGTTAGTTTTTTAGTGCATTGGTTTGGTTCTGGTTCTTCAAATTACCAAACCATGGTTCTTAGTTTATGCCTTGCTTAAACCGAACCAACCCGAAAACCGAACCCATTTATATATTTTTTAAAATTTTATTTATATTAATGTCTTCACATAATTGGTCTATTACAATGAACGTGATTGCACCTAATAATTTCCAACATACAAAAATTATTAGATGAACAAAGTTAGTCCTGGAAGATTGAGTTAGATTTCAAAATTGATCTAATTTGTACTAATGGATTTATTGTGTATTGGTTATGTTTAAGCTTTAGTTGGATTTAATTTGTATTAGTTTGCATTAAACAATATTTTACTCTTTATTTGTGTTATGTTTAAATGTTAAAGACTTATTTATTTTTAATTATTTATTATTGATTAATTCACTTATTTTTAATATAGTGGAACCGTAGTTATAACCCGAGCTACATTGAATTGGGTTAGATTGGTTCTAGTGCATCATTGGTTTAGTTATGGGTTCAAAAACTATGATTGAATTAGTTCTAAATTTATTGCCAAACTGACCCATGAACACTGCTATTCTGATGTATTGAAACCTACCATTCTTGAAAACATACCTACCCAGTGGGTGATAGGTATGTATTCAAAAATGGTGGGTTTTAATAGATCATAATAGTATATGAGAATGAGAGTTAATATTTTTTTTCAAATTTTTAAGGGTACTTACCAATAAGTCCTACTTTTAAGATTTATTACCCATTAAATCCTATTAATAAATTTATCACTGTAAATTTATTCATAAAAACAAGATAGACTAATAAATTTACCAATAGGACTTAATGGGTAATAATTCCCAAAAGTAGAACCTATTGGTAATTTATAATTTGCCCATTTTTTTAATGGCATGTAAATGGTGGGTGAATAGAAAGATCTAAATTTTTTTCAATATTTTAATTTTTAAAAAACATTTTGGGTCGCATAGAATGTAAAAATATTTTTTTTTTTATTATTTTTTTTTTTTTGAAAAAAAAAAGTTTAAAAAAGATCACAAAAGACTAAAAACAAAAAATCACTCAAAAAAACAAACCTCAAACACCACCTAAAAACGGAGGGAAAGTTGGTTAGCATTGTACCAAAATGGCATTACCCTATGGCAACATTGCAACATTTTGGTATTTTGCTACTGTAGCATGCCAAATTATAACTTTAGCAGAGCTATTATAGCATTAACCATTAGAGTTGCTCTAACCAAACATAAACAAGGAATTTGGAGTCTCTAATTTGATTTTTCTTTTCCTTCCTTCCACTTTCCTCATCCATTCCCTCAAACAAATAAACACCAAACAAAGCAAAAGCATTTGGAGAATCCTTGGAATGGTTTTGACAAAGACACATCTAGTCTAAATGTGTAACCCAGTTCGGAAACTTATATCTAACTAGAAAACTTGTTCTCACCAAATATAATCAGAGCACTAAAGCAAGTCGGCAAAATTCAACAGGGAGACATTAAGGCCATGTTTGGTTTGTATTTGTGAAACAATTTTGAAAAATAATTTTCTAAAAAGAGTTTACAAATTTTTTGTATGTTTTGAAAATAATTTTGGAGTTTTGGAATTTTGGATAGTTGAATAGAAAAGTATGAAGAAAAATGATTGATTGATGTATAGAATGTGAAGAGAGAAGAGAGAGAAAAAGTGATTGATTAATATGTAGTAAAGAGAAGTGATTTCGAACGAAATTTTTTCTCAAAAATTGTCTCTCAAGAGACAAACAAAACAAGGCTTAATTCTCTTAAAGCTGAAATAACGACTAATGAAATAAAAATAGACAACAAAAAATGAAGAATGCATCATGAGAAGAGTTGAACAGCCAATAATTGAGGACACAAAAGTGGGTGTTTGGGGTTTGGATTTTTTAGTGGCTTTTTAGCTTTTTTATTATGAGGTGAAAAACAATTATGGGAATGGACTTTTTAGTTGTATGGAAAAATGTAAAAGGCTGATGTGATATTTTGGCTTTTTGCCTAAAATTACCATTTTACCATTGTTTTAACTGTCTGAAAAAAAGTATATATGAGAGTACATTGGTTTTTTTACACTGGTATAGCCAGATTTTTTTGATGCACCCCAACGGTTTTGGTGTTTTGGCTTTTTTAGCCAAAAATCCTATATCCTAAACCACCTCAAAATGGAAGGAATTGTGAAAAATAAGAATAGGTGCATGACAGATCAACTCAACTCAACAAGGCTTGGTTCAAATTACTTAAGAATCAACTACATGGATCCATTTTCTCCAGTACTCGAAACCTTCTTAATAATTATTCTTAAAGCAATTCACTTATGCAACAAAAAATGAAAAAGAAAGGGGGAAAAAGGAGTGCAGTGTAAAGATGGGACGGGCAGACACAGGAAATTCCAGAAAATATGTCATCTATACCTTATTTTAATAATTAATAACTTTATATTATACAAAAAATCAATCACTAACTATTATATATAAAATAAACAATGACAAAAATAAGAGAATAAATAAAAGCTTAAATATATATATATTTTTTTTTTTAATCAAGCCAAATAGATAATGACCACACTTATTATTATTATTTTCAAACAATATATAGATAGACACACACAAACAAAATGGTTGAGTGATAGCAACTGAATACAATAGCATAGGTTTTATAGCTTCAACAAATCAATAACATGTTCTTCATCTTCCCTCTTCTCTCTCTCTATCTCTTGCTCCTCCATCTTCTCTCTTCTCTCTTCTCTCTCTATCTCTCTTCCCCCATTTTCATTTTTTTTTTTTTGCGTGTTTTTTCAAAAGAAGCAATTCAGAACCGTTACGTAACAGTGCGTAACAAGCCGTTACGGCCGTTATGACACCGTTACGACCGCTATAGCGGCCGCTACGGCCGACACACTTGTGAATCTCAATCACACTGCAAAAGCGGCTGTAACGGGTGGCGGCAACCACCACAACCGTTACGTAACAGCATTACGTAACGGTTGCGGCTGCTTTTTAAAACCTTGAGCATGACAGATCAACTCAACTCAACAAGGCTTGGTTCAAATTACTTAAGAATCAACTACATGGATCCATTTTCTCCAGTACTCGAAACCTTCTTAATAATTATTCTTAAAGCAATTCACTTATGCAATAAAAAAATGAAAAAGAAAGGGGGAAAAAGGAGTGCAGCGTAAAGATGGGACGGGCAGACACAGGAAATTCCAGAAAATATGTCGTCTATACCTTACCTCATGAACAATTAGCAGAACATAATGGGAGTTACAACTTCACCGTCTGTTAACATAAAGAGATCAATATCTATCTGGATATAGAAGCTGAAAATTTACATGATTTTAATTCTGTACTATATTGTCATTTGCCTCTCAAACCATTTTTCCAAGATGGGACGGGCAGACACAGGAAATTCCAGAAAATATGTCGTCTATACCTTACCTCATGAACAATTAGCAGAACATAGTGGGAGTTACAACTTCACCGTCTGTTAACATAAAGAGATCAATATCTATCTGGATATAGAAGCTGAAAATTTACAATGATTTTAATTCTGTACTATATTGTCATTTGCCTCTCAAACCATTTTTCCATGATCAGTTCAAAATTTTTAGGTCTAGGAAAAAAAAAAGAAAAAAAAAAAAAGCACAAGTATACCCTTCAAGTTACAGTAAAAATAGCATCAAACTTCAGTGTGTTTGTGTGTAAAACCATGCCTCAACCTAAGCAAGTAGAACACCTTCATCTCATCATGAGCAAAGCCATTTCAACCCAAATCCAACAGAAACTGAAATAAATAACTTTAATTACGCCTACATTTTCAGACCTCAATAACTTTTGAAGATATTTGCAAAATAAAACAGGCAGTCAACATGCTTACTTTATACCTACATGCGTTGCATACCTGTTATGTCAATCTTATATGAGATCCCAGCAGCAGTTAATGATTTGGCAATGCGTTTAGCAACTTCCTCATACTGCTGATTCTGAACCAATGGGAACACAGTGCATTTTATAGGTGCCACAAGTGGAGGGAAACGGAAAACATTCAACTGTTCGTCCCCGCCTTTACTAGGCCTTGTATAGAAGGAATGTTCATAAAGACAGTAAATTATCCTCCCAATACCAAAAGATGGTTCAATTACTGATGGTGTGAAAACCCTCTGATGTTCCTTCTTCTTCTCCTTAGAGATTGTCACCATGTTCTTCATTATACTGACATCTTTGCCAAGTGTGCACACAGTGAACTGTACCTCTCCCTTAGACTCCAAAGTGGCTTTCATTTCCATAGCCTCTTTTTCACCCATTGCCTGCAGGCAAACAGAAAATGTTGAGACCTTTATAATTGTAATTCATGACAGCAGAGGCAGAAACTTGGCCTCCATTATTGTGAGCAAACTTTTCATTTAAAGAAATCTACAAGGTATAGATCTCATTTGTCTTTTTGCTTCTCTACCCCCAAAATGAATAAGGAAAGAAATTTTTAAAAAGCCACCAAACATGCAATACAGTGCCGGACACAAAGTATTAAGCCACCAATTATGAAACAAAGAATCAAGTCAATTTCCATCAAATCATTGCCTAACAAACAATTTGTACTATACCTCCAATGCTTCAACCACCATCTTCTGATCACCCTTGAATGCAAGGCCCAGCTCCTTCTTAACTGGAGCTATAACGAGTTTCTGAATCAAAGGTAAAATTGGTTTATAAGAATTTTATTAGACACAATATATATATATATCAACAGAGATAAAGAGAGTTACCTCCACTTCTCTAGGTTCTGAAAACTTTTCAGCTGCCACAAGGGGCACACCACTTTTATCCTACAACAAAGAAATAAAGAGAACTCCTCAGAAGACCAGGATATGATTCACATTATTTTTTCAGGCAATCTTCTAGCATAAAATATCACAACAAACAAAGCTATTGTCTTATTGGTCTTTTCATATTCGTCAATTTTTATCATAATTTTATTTTTTTTAGATTCCTACCACACAAATTAGTAATTAAGCAAATAAAAATTAGATTTGACAGGTCGGTAATAGTTTAACATTTTTTCCTCAAAAAGATCATAGAGTTCATACCGTGTGGGCATGCAAATCATATGCAGATCTATCAGCGATACCAACACATTCAATCCATCCGTAAGAGCATTCAATCTCAGCATCCCAACAATCTGCAGCATAGTGTGCCATCTCATTTGCAAGATGTTGCCGGAATCTTAATCGCTCCTTATCTATACCAAGGTATGTCAAGAATAAATATACCCTCCCAATAAAATAGCCCAGCGTTTCATTGTTGACAATGCCCTAACCAACAAAAAAAACACCCGATGAGTTGGGAACCATGTAATTGTTTTTTAAGGTAAAAGAAAGAGAGGAGCAAGACTGTTAGAATGGTACAAGTCAAACCAACCTCAGAAACTGCTTCACCAAGGCGTATTGTCCTTGCAGATTGTCCAGACACCTGGTCTTCCCTTGGGAACATTAGAAATTCCAAGTTTGAGACTTCAGAAAATTTTGGGTGTGACTTATCATCGGGATCCACAAAATGTTCTATTTCAGCCAATGTAAACTCACGGACTCTTAGCAGACCTTGGCGAGGAGATATCTGCAATATTTTGAAATCAATGCCAGATTTCAATTGGCTTCATCATTTGTAGACAAATGTTCAAATACCATTTCAGCATCATGCTCTAATTATAACTCTAAAAGGTAGTGGAAGAAACTGAGAAGAACTGGATATAACTTATAATATACCACTACTACAAATGTTGAAAAAAAAATGCATCGATCATAAAAATATCATTTTTCATGTTACTTCTTCTTACTGTCTGTTCAAACAATTCATTTTTCTTTGATCCTCTTTTTTCTTTGAATTATATTGTAAGTAATCAACAATAATAGTGGCACCTAAACCAAACTACTTCTCATACTACCACTTCTATTGCCAGTGCTACAACCACTACCACTGTTATTGTTACTCTGACATCTTCTTTTATCCTACACCTTTTACTAAACTATTGCAGCCATTGACAACCAGCACCATACACATGAGCTAGAACAATGGAAAGCCAGTCAGTTAAAAATTCACTTCCAATGACAAAATAAATGCAACCTAAGCCACAAATGGCCAAGGATATTCATGCAAATAAATGCACCAGTTAGAGACAAATGAAACCTCATTCCTAAAAGCTTGGCCAATCTGAGCAGCAGCAAAAGGGAGCTTGTTGCCATTATAGTAGTATAAATCCTTGAAGTTCACAAAAATGCCTTGTGCTGTCTCAGGGCGCATATACCTGCAGCATATTACAGTGGGAAATCATGAAAAAAGTAAGTTGAAGCACTGACACTTCAAAATAAGTGCCGTATCCATGTCGGACACGGGGACAAATATGGAACACACCATATGGCGTGTCCCGTTATTTAATTAATTTATTTTCAGGGACACACCAGGGGCATGCCAAGTTGTCTTTTCTCCCATTTTCTTTATAGCTTTTGATGAATGTTGAATGTTTATTATTTTTTTCTTAGATTTAAATACTTAATAGATCATCCATAAAAAAATATATAAATTATAAGTATTAATTTAAAAGTGCTTTTTAAAAAATAATAATAATTAGAGTTAGTTTTTGTTAATATTGATTGTTTATGGATGTAATATTAATCTATATAGCAAATAAAAATATATGAAAACATATTTTATTGTTATGTTCGCGCTGTGTCCGTGTCTCCATTTTTTTGAAATCACCGTGTCCTATGTCCAGATCTGTATCCGTATTCGTGCTTCTTAGAAAGTAACACATCGGGTACAAAATGGACAAGGCAATATGAATTTTAAACAATTTAAAGAAAAAGCTCATTACAGATGTATTGCAAGTTATGAAAACACAATGTAAGTATGATAAAAGTATTCTTACCCAGGATTCAAACCAGATGGACCTATAGAGGTCTGAAACATTAAGTTGAATGGATATGGAGCAGACAGAGGGTTCTTAGTATCAGGAGCAGTAATACCATATTCCTTAATCTTTGCACCTAATTCTTCTTCAGAAAGATCGTCCAATACAGCAAGAACATGCCTAAACTCCGAGGTCTTCTCCTTTGTGATATTAGGATCTCTCTCGAGTTTCTCCTTGCAAAAATCTTTGAGTAAATGATCAGCACGATAACATGTACCAGTCTTTTCATCCTTAACCATGAGGTCAGTAAACTTATCAACATGACCTGATGCCTTTAGCACAACTTCTGGTGTAACACAAGGGCAATCGACTTCCAACATGTTTTCTTCCAGAACAAAATGCTGAAAAAGGAACAAACCATGATATCGTAATATTCACTAAACTTAAAAAAAGGTGCAGACCATCAACACGCAGCGAATTGTACCAAACTTGAGAGATTAAAAAAGGATAACAACAAAACAAAACAAAAATGTATAGAAGACTTAAAGCCACAAAAATACAGTCTGGACGGTTAATTCCAGTCAAATTGAGAACAGTAATTGCATGATCTAGTCCCTACGCGTAATTGAGTTTCCACATGATATCTTCTTTTTTATGTGCACATTGTCCCTGCCCACCAATTTAGGCTAAACTAATGTTGAACAACAACAGCCAACAAGCTCGGAACTAACATAGAAGCAGACAAAATTATTCAACAAATGGTTCTAACTTCTAAAAAGAATTAATAAGCCTCCCCCGTTCCTGATTTGCCTCCCGACGTAGCATACATTATACGGATCCATGCATAATGCATTGCACCGCACTGTGCAACTTTTTTTTTGAAAATTCATGAAAGCAAGCAGTTAGCATTTACATCTCTATCATGAAGGCAAACAAAATATGAAAACAACTATGTAGCAAGTAAAAACACAGCAAATTTAGAATTCAATTTACAAGTCCTATCCTATGAACAATATAAATTAATAGCAACCTCCACCATTCGGAGTGACCTAGTGCTGCGGCAGCGAGCAATCAGCAAATAAACTATCGATTTCGTCTATTTAGTCCATGAAGTTTCTGATTTCAGCTTATGTTGGTCCAATTGAAGACCAGTTAAGCTTGATTTGATAGGTGTTTGTTATATGGTTAAGTATAGAACTTTGAAATGACATTTTTTTACAATCAAATTAATTGAATAATTTGAATTACATGAGCTTGTGAAATCACAAATCAAATTGATAGTTTTGTAATGAATTTTTAAAATTTAAAAAAAAAAATTGGGGAATGAAATTACTGACTTGACGCCAGAAAGCGAGGACATTGGACTTGACGGCGCAACCGGGAGGACCGTAGTCGTAGAGGCCGGCGACGCCGCGATAGATCTTGAAAGAGGGGATGTAGAAGAGGCGGCGCTCGAGCGTGTTCACCACCGCCTGACGGAAAGCTTCTCTGTTGTTGTGGACTTCTTGTGGTGCTGCGTCCATTTCTACGAATCGAAGCCCTACTGGGCTGAAAGATTGGGTGTGTATATGTTGTGAGGTGAGGTGAATGAGAGTGGCGTTGTGGAGCAGATGATATTTGGGGAGTGTGGATATGGTGGTGGTGGTGGATATTGTAGGGCTGGCTCTGGCTGGATGCGACTTTGCCAACACTAGTGTCACACCAGGAAGAATCCTTCCTAGGGTTTTCGCTAACATGCGCCGTAATACTTTTTTTTTTTTTTTTTTTTTTAATTCTTTTTTTTCTTTCTTTCTTTCTTTCTTTCTTTTTTGGGTCCCTGTTTTGTTTGGAACCAAATGGGGGGGATGGGATTTGAAATCCGATTGGCTTGTTGCCCACCTTGGCATTTGTGGAGTCCATAAATCTATGGGTGGTGCTAGGGGTGGTGCTAAATTCACATGGGCTTCGTTTGGAAAATAGATTGATTTTTTAATTTTTTAATTTTTTTGTTGTTT